ATCGAGATATATAATAATAGATACTTATTCTATTTTATACAATCTTACATTATAATTACGATTTTTTATAAGAATGTCACTGATAGATTAATAAGCTTTTTTTATTCTTGGTCGGTAAAATTTGAATGGCAAACAAAAGAATTAACTTATTCGTTCTGCTTCAATTTGCAGTAAGACAGGTACGAAATAAATAGAAAAAGAAACAGGGATAATTGAACGGCTTGCGTGAGAAGCGAAGTAGGTCAGGGAAAATCGAAAAAAGATTAAATTATACTGTTTGCAGTACAATCCTTTACATAATCCAAGGTTTACTTGCGAGCAACACCCACGAGTTTATAAACGGCATATTGGTGAAATATCTCGTTGGAAAGAAGAGTCAGTTTCTGACGTGAAAGATTGATATAAAATTGGTTAAAAGTTATCACGCGCAATGTATTACAGCTCGAAAAACAAGCATTAGCGATGTGGTTCCGGAGTTGTATAATTGAAGTTAAGAGAAATCTTTACTCGCGCTGGAGATTTAATCTGTTACTATAGAAAACACGGGCGTGATATCGTCGCTTTATCAAGCTGAGAGGATCTCGTATCGGGAATTGTCTGCTGCGGAATGAATTATACGATACGAGGTTGAGGATAATGAAAGAGATACGCGAATCGAATTATCTGCGAACAAAATCGATGCAATTAACACTTAAATGGCATTTGCTGGTTATCGCATTTGTTAAAAATAAAAATTAGAATCGATTTCACGAATTCATCTCGTGCATACACACACACACACACACATATATGTGTGTGTGTGTGTGTGTCTTTATATTTGTTTAGTACATACACACACGTGTATCTACAGATGGAAAAGAGAAGATCCTGTAAAGAATATACATCGTATACATAAAATATACAATGTCAAATATAAATAACTTATCTAATTTCACACACACAAGTTTCTTATCTAATTTCTATATGTGTCAAAATCTAAATCAATCCATTTCTGTGGCTAAATTGCTTAATAAATAACGTCCATATTAACGTATACATTTAGTGAATAATAAATTAAATTTGAATCAAATTTAATATATTTCTTTCTTCTTGAGTCAAATTGTTTAACTTTATTGATTTAGTTATATAAGTTAAGGACATATTGAGTAGGAGTAGCGACCTATAGAAATGATTGAAAATAACTTAAATGGATATAATTCGACGTTATGAATTTTACATTGTAGCCATTAATTTAATCTATGCTGACAGTCTATCTATATTATATACGTCTGTATACATCATTTATATTCTGTGTCAAAAAGATTACTTTAATTCTATAACAAGTTATTGATTTTATGACATTGTCTTCATATGTCTAATGTAATATGCACAATAACATTTTATAACAAAACGACAGTTAATTAAATATTTTAATTAGCACTCCTTTAATTAGAAATAACCCGAAATCGGACAAACACTTTTGAATAGTGGATACATTAACGTATAGGTAAGTAGGTATAGGTAAAATGTCAATACGAGCCGAAACGCCAATGTTGATGCTTATAATACATGTAACGTTACTGTTTCTGACGAAGCTAGTAATGATTTTAACAAGTATTTTGTCAGAAACAGTAATACTCTGTACACGTATACATTATATTGCAACACATTGTTTAGAGTAATATGTAAATATCATGCGCCGCGATTGTGTACTTATAATGAAGGCAGCAAAATGTAATAAGCTCATTTATCGTGCATAGAATATATGCTTTCGGACGTAGCATAGATGATATGGTATTACGAATCGTATAAATAATCGTATAAATACATAAAATTATTAAATACATGGATTGATCATTTTATGTTATATCGACATTTAAACCTTCGGAGCTGACAATAGGTCTATTGGATTCATTCAATTATTCATAATCAAGCTATTTGTTAAACAATTCAATTTTCTTTATGTTACATCTACAAATTTGGATTATTCTTATTAAGAGTGTATTATACTCTTAATATTTTTTAACAAAATGAAAGGTTATAAAAGAATTTCAGATTTTTTTATAATATATTTGAAAATAATACAAGAAATCTTGCGATGATTTAGAATTTGGATCAAAAGGTATATTATATAATAAGAAGTAGACATGTCTTAAAAATAATTAAGATAAAATAAGAAAATTTTTATTTAAATTACAAAATTGTATCGATAAATATAAATATTAATTTTATTGAACTATTTCATATATATATACATATAATGTTTATTTTTTATACGAAAAGCATAAATTTCTAATTCTAGTCACAAAGAGATCGTACACCTGATCCTTAAAATGTATTTACAATTTTTATACTAGTTATGTAATTTCGATTCTGTGAAATTAATTAATGTCTTTTAATTAATATAAATTAAGTAGATCTTAGATCCAGACCGAGCATTAATAACTGTTACAGATTTTAGCGTCAGCTCCAGAGAGTTAAGTGAAACGTACTACCTCGAAGAAAATCGTTCTCGAAGGGAAACGTGTATCGAATTGTCGAATCAGCACGAACGACAGATTATTAATCGTCGCAGACGATTAATCTATAATTACAAGCGTAGAATCTAATCGACTGCTGTGATTGCTAACTATTTATCCTATAGGAAAGATTAAATATTCGTATGAAGCATTAACAATACAAAACGTCAATCAAAGTGGAAGTGGAATCAGGACGTGGCCGTAATATGCAACTTTAGAATAAATCCTAAAACGTATCTGATACATTTTATTTTATAATCGGACATTCAATCATTTTACTTCCGTTAAAATCATGAATATTTATTTGCTCTCTTATGAGATAATTTATCGAAATATGATATATGTATCATATATTTCTCTCTATTCGATTTTAACATATAATTTTCTCTTTGGTATTTATTGTACGAAAAATACAATCGGTTTTCATTCTGGAGGAAGTAGAAAGTTCAAACCATCGACATCGATCGAATCGGCCGAGAGCGATAAATCGAACCTTCCTCATCGAGTTGACGACTCTCGACTTCAATTAGCACTCAATCTTTGTTTTTTATTCGGCGCAAAGGTGTGCCAACTTCAAAAGAATATCACGTTTCTAACGCATGCCGATAATTACATGCGCACGCCAGTCCGAGCACTTTAATGGTTTGTTGCCTGTTGAAAATTAATTATTTTACGCCAGAAGCTGGCGCAGTCGGTGAGTGTATCGAAATACCTATACCTATAGGGCGGCAGGCTTAGCAGGATGACGGAAGGAAGGGTGAGGGGACAACATGGCAGAGGCAGGTAGGGTGAGTCGCGTCCGGGGGTG